TGATGAACTTCTTATCTAACAGTTCTTGCAGTTGCACTTTCAATTCTTTCAGTTCAGTCGGAGCCATTCGGTAAGGAGCTTTAGATACTGGCTGTGTACTCGGAATCACATCAACGGTGAACTCAATCTCCCTGTCAATCAAATCCCCTGGCAGATCATTGGGGAAAACATCTTGGAATTCCCTAACTATAGGAATACTGTTCACATCAGTTTTATCATCAGTAGGTACAGTCAACAGAACACAGATATCCCTTACATCCCTTTCTTAATCAGTTTACAAGCTTTCATAGATGAAATCAGATATGGGAGAGGTACTACTCCTACTCCGTTAAACACAAATTCAGGCAGTCCGGGTGGACGGAAAACAACTTGTTTTGTCACACAATCTATAGCAGTATGATATTTCGTTAACCAGTCCATCCCCAATATTACGTCAAAATGGTCAATGTTCATTGGCAGTAAATCAATATACAGATGCATATCCCCAACAATAATTTCACATGTAGGGTACATATAAGCACAAGTCATAGATCCCCCAACAGGTGAAGATACAACTAACAGATAATTCATGGGTTCCAATGTTCTATTCAATTTTCACGAAAAAGCATGCGATACATATGAATGTGTAAACCCCGAATCAATCAGTACATAAGCATTTTGGGTACAAATAGAGAGGATACCTGACACGACGGTCTCGGTATTTTGTACGTCTCCCGGTATGAGTGCGAACACTCGGCCTTGTCTCATTGGCTCTTTTCCAGTAGCTTTAGGGTTGGGTTTTGGTAGAGCAGTTGATGCTACGCCGTTGGCTGCAGCTTTACTATTGCCCTGAGGAGTGGAAGGGCAATCTTTGATCATGTGGCCCACCTTGCCACACCTGTAACAAGCACCTGAAAGTTTATAACAAACTCCTTTGTGTTTCTTACCACATTCAGAATAGGACGGTATGAAACCATTTCCCTGACTAGAGCTGGTGGTTGACCCTGAGTTTTGCTTTTTGTTCAGTGGGTTGTTTCTGTCTTTCTTGAATTTAAAACCCCTTTTTTTCCCGCGCCACTCAGTTGCAGGTGTTTCAGTCTGTTTCAAAGTTTCGATATTTGCTTCGGCCATAATGGCTCGGTCAAGAACATCTACATATTTGAGTAGTTTCAGTACATTAATCCTGTCCACTATTTCTACATTGAGGCCACCTTCAAACTTCTTGGCCTTCTTGTAGTTAGTGTCCACCATGTGTGGTGTATATCTAGCAAGTTCGGTGAACTTTGTTTCATACTCTCCTACGGACATGGTACCTTGTTTCAGCTGTTCAAATTCAGTCACCTTTCTGTCCCTGACACACTGAGGGAAGTACTTTTTGAAGAAGGACTCCTTAAATTGAGCCCAGGTCATGACAATATTTGTATCACGGATCAACATCCACCACCTTCTAGCTTCTTCTTGTAAGGTGAATGTAGCTAGCAACACTTTATGTGCTTCAAAGCACGGAAACACTTCAAACAATTTTTTTGTTTCAAGAATCCAAGCTTCAGCTTTTAGCAGTTCGAGGCCTCCCTGAAAAGATGACGGTTTCATCTTACTAAATTTATGTGTCAAAGCTATGATATCATCATTAACAGGTGGCTCTGGTTGTACTGGAGGAGGTGGGGGCTGTTGGTTCTGTTGTTGTTCTGGTCTTTCAGTTAGTAGTTCCACCAATCTCTCCAACCTCGCCATTCTTGCCTCAGAGGATTCAGTTTCATCAACATTTCTTGCGTTGTCCATCTCACTATAGGCAGTTATAACAATTATAAACATAGGTAGCTGCGTACTTAGACAGATTATCACATCAACAGTTATATTCATGTCTTAGCCATACACACTTATCATGCTCATGTAATGCCCTAATCACTTTTCTAGGACATCCTATAACTCATTTGGACACGTGTGTGCGATACAACTCGTGGTATAAGTATCGCTCTGATACCACTCTGTCACGACCCAAACCCGCCCCTATGGGTTTAGCACCGTAACCGACCAGTAATCCGTGATTACCGAAGGCCTGCTTAACAGTCAAACAATTATACATAGTACAGGGGCATGACGGAAGCCAAAACAGTAAATAGACAATGTCCAATGAGCTGTGACAGTCTGTATGCAAAAAGACTTTCATATATTTGCACATTCAGAACAAAAGAGTACATACATACATCATATACAGATATTCAGGTTAGGGACCGGATCCCTACCATAACAGTACAATACGATGTCATTCAGTCTATACAGTAATTACAAAACAGATGCAAAAAGGGGAAAACTAAAACACCCCCGAAGCCTTAGCTTGACAGGCTCGGAACCTCGCAGTGAGGCACAGTGGTTGGCTTTGACAAAAGGGAGTCTAACCCACGCTCTTAGCTCCGGTCTGGTGCCTGTACACCTACATATATATATGAGCAGTGAGATAAAACCCAATGAATAACATAATGCGTAAAGAGATTAAGAATGAATGTCCTTTCAGTATTGAAAACAGTCAATTGATTCAGTGTATCAGTCATTCAGTCATAACAGTCATATGTGGTACATCCATTAGCAGAACAGTACAGTAAACAGTAAGTCTTGAAAGACCGAACAGTCAATGATGGCCATCAGTAATGGTTCCAAACATGGGAACCGACAGAGATCTCTGTAACAGTAGCAGTAACAGTAACAGTAACAGTAACAGTAGTTGCTAAGGACGCCACAATACAGTTCAAAATAGAGGATAAATATTCATTCAGTTAACAGTAAACAGTTCAATTGATCATTCAGAAAATATTCATTTTCGAATATATCTTTACAACATTGTTACTCACAGAGTTCTGGGCTACAGATAAGCTAGAGCGCGTCTCTGAAAGCCAATCCTACACAGTTGCAGATTGAACACACACTAAGCTACACAGTTGGGAAAATAATAACTTAATCCCTATCTTGACTCGGTGTGGTTCTACATCAATATCCTCATTAAGATGCCTTAAACTAGGCCTAAGAATGCCTAGAATGAATTGAGGATGTAAGGATGCACTTTGAAAATATTTTCAGAATTTTCAGAAAACAGGGGTCTCGCTCGAGCGTGGGATTCCCCGCTCGAGCGGACATGCAAACAAAAGACTCCGCTCGAGTGTAAACTTTCCCGCTCGAGCGTACTGAAAAAGTACTGGATGTGTGAAAATCACGCTCGACTGGACGCTCGATACCCGCTCGAGCGTGTGAAACAAGTTCTTACTCAAGCGTCCAATACCCCGCTCGAGCGGACTGTAAAACAGTGCAAAGTGCTGGAAGCACGAATTTCACGCTCGAGCGCCAGTAACTCCGCTCGAGCGTGAGTCCAAAATCTGGAAATTCCAGATTCGAACCTCAAGCTCAAAACCAAGTTTTAATGTACTAAATTCGATCTTTTTGGGCTAATTTTTTGGAAAACACTTAAAAACTCATAATATAACATGTTTCAAAGGTCAACTTGAGAAATCAAAGCCCAAGGGTAGTTCAATTAAATCCAATTTCAAACTAATTTTCATGAACAAAACTCAAACATGACATGCATGAGTTTAAACCAATTCAAAGCTTCAATTACATGCTCTAATGAGCCAATTTCTTCTAAAACATGGTAAAATCATGAACTATGATCAAAAGATGAACATGCATGAAGCAATCTCATGAACAGTAACTTCAAAACTCAAGGATGGCAACATGCATGCATGAATTAAGCTACAATACAACATTATAAGCCATGTTTTGGCTCTAACCTTTAACAATCCTCTAAAACATGCTAGAAGTAACTCAAATTAAACACAAGAAGGTAAAAGCTCTACCTTATGTCTTGAATTAAAGGTCTAGGAGCTCAATTTTGCAATACTCTCTTCAATTCCTTCAATTTCCAACCAAAACAAGATGAAAACCAACTCTCTTAGTTCTCTCTCTCTCTATGGTCGGTTGTGCTTAGAAATGAACTGATGAAATGTGTATGAATGAGTGTAATAAGGCTCAAATATGGTCTAAGGTAGTGGCCCACTCACAATGGCATTATGGTAGATAAAACCAACTTATGTGTTTTACATTATCTAATCTAATTTAAACACACTAAATCACATTTCAGATAAATACACCATAAAATCACATAAATCCTAATTAGCACATGACGCTAATCAATCTCAGTTTCGGCCGCCGATAAGGCCTCCAATTTGCAGTTTAAAGCATAAACATGAACAGATAATTTAACAGTCAACAAATAGATATGCATTCAAACTAGTACAATCAATCAATCAATCAGTTTAGTGATTTCAGTTAATTCAGTCAATTATCATAATCAGTTTCAGTTTAACAGTGATCAGTGGTTCATCAGTAAACAATGGTGAGGGTTGTCACACATCCAAAACCCAACTGCAAGTCCAAAAACATCCAAAATGACTATCCTTAAGTTCTAAATTATCCAAAAAGTTATAAACCATTCAAAACTGTATATATATAAGTTTGTAAACATTACCCGAAACTATTCAAAAATTATAGAAATCTATTCATTAAAGTCCTCAAAAACTATCTATAGGTGTTAGTTCTACTCAAAGTCAAAGCTAATGAAATGGGTTGGCCAAGCAACAGTGCTTCCAATAGCATCCTCAAGCACAAACATCTCATGATTAGGGCGAAACAATGGCGCATTGACTATGACATGGTTAACCCATACTTTCCAACACCCAAGGCCAAGAGGCACGCGATGTACCAATGCTCTATGAAGCATGGATATGAACACAGACACGCATACGGACACGGACACGGACAAAGACACGGGACACGAGACACGTCAAATTTTTTAATTTTTTTTATAAATATTTTTATTTTAATACATATTAATTATTTTATTTATTTATTATATTTTTTAAATAATGTGTTCCAATTAATTTTTTAATTTTATTTACATACAATTATACATTATCTTATAAGTATATTTATGTTATATAATAACTATTATATAATATATAATAATAGTTATTATATAATGGTTATATATATTATATATGAATCAAGACAACAAGACAAAGACGGGAGAGAACCGAGAGAGTGGGAGATAGAAGCGAGACAGAGGGAGATGATCGCGATTGCGATTATGAAGGAGAGAGAGAGAGAAGGCGAGAGAGAGAGAGAGAGAGAGAGAGCTCTGAGAAGGCAAAGGCGAGAGAGAGCTCATCGAAGTCGAAGGGGGCTCTGGATCGTCGAAGTCAAAGTCAAAGTCGAAGGGCTCTGGATCGTCGCCGACCAGGTTTGTACTCGTTTTCCTTTTCATTTACTCTTCTCGCCGTGTCCATGGCGTGTCCAGATTTGGACACGCGTGTACCCTGCAAAAAAATAAATTAAATTAAGGGGACACGCCAGATGCCGTGTCCCATACGTGTCCCCGGCGTGTCCCCGTGTCCAACACCGCCACGGCTTCCATTTTGGCGTATCCATGCTTCATAGCCAATGCTTTAGAATCTGTTGATGCAATTGTGCCTTCTGCAGCCACCACCTTTGTTCTATCCCAATTCAACAATTTGCATTTGGCATTATCCAAGGATCCACCATTTCTAGTTTTATTTGCGTCATGCAACTATCATGAAAGCAATACATAAGATAAGCTAATGAATTGAAGACAAAATTAAAGTTATTATTAATGCCATATAAAATTTACCCAAATATCTTCATCGTCTTCATTGTTTTCGTCACCCTAAAAAAATGTAATACAATATCAAGTTATATTTGTTTATCCAAATTTAGCAGACGATGTGGGATGTATATGAAAATCTGACAAAAGCTCTTGAGTAGAAAAGCAAGCAAGCAAACAAAAGCACAAGAAAAATGAAAATGAGTAAATTAATAATGCCAAAATGAAAATGGACCTAATTCAACAAACTTGAAAATCCCCAAAATTATCATTTTGCCATCAAATAGTCGAATTGCTCCATGAATTTACTTTCAAATGATTACTACATTGTCTAGACAAATATATAGTCTCAAATGGTATTGAGGCAAATGTGTTAATGACCTTCAATAATTTGACGAGCAAGAGGGATTGATCCCGATGCTCGAAGACAATAATATTATACCCATCAGCCAGAAAATCAAAAGAGGGAAACAAAAAAAAACAATATACATATATAATATTCCAGGAGACAACTTGATGGTGCCATGAAAAACGACATATACCTAAGCAATGAACATGGGGGGAAATGTTCGAGGATTTTTGCTGCAACTGAAATATTAGCAGCAAGAATAAACTCCTCAACCATCTGGTTTGCTTCTCGAATTTGATACATTCCAACAGTCACATATCATGCATTAGGAATTAATATTAATACACAAGTAAAACAAAATAAACCACTAAATCATTAATGCAAAAAAGCAAAGTGGAACGAAACCAGAGAACCCATATAGACATAACTACAACATGCATCAGATAATTGAGAAACTTCAGCACCTTAATGAAAATTTGGTGGCTGATTTCACTAGGACACTAGACACCAGTTTATAAATGGATATTACAACACTAAACACCAGTTTATATAGGATGATTTGGGCCTTGGAGTCCTGAAGGAATTCTAAAGTGTGCAGAGGAAGGATAACAACGAACAAACAACAATATATTTAATGACAACAATGGCTCCAAGTCTCATTCATGGATTAATCCTACAAATGGTATTGGCTACCTCTTAACAGCTAGACTAAATCAACTTTCTTTGTTTAAAAAGGTCAAGTCAACATACCAATATCCAGAGGGTCATGAGTTTCAGTATCAATCTGAAATTTCACTTCAGCGGAGGCAAGAGTCAATGCTCCTCTATCAATACGCCTCTGCCTCATTACCTGCAAAAACAGAGTCCATTCACATTTAGTCAATACTCAAATGAATAAATGACAATAAGTATCAACCTGAGTATGAATACCTTTGCTAAAACATTCATATTTCTCAAATCTGTAGTTAGCGGATCCATCAAGCAGCTAAAATATACATGTAGAAAAAAGTCATCAATATGGAAACTGGTAGGCAGGAAGCTTCAAATACAATAAATAAATAAATGCAGATAACCTTAAGGGCAAGAACAGACCCAAAGAGAGTCTAAATGTATAAACTTACATAGGTAACTGGATATCAAAAGGTCAAATGGCCATTATCTTTCTTAATCAAGATTGAACCAGTTCAGATATTCACGATCAAGAAGTATTGGATTCTCTTTCGGATAGGCTCTGAAAGGAGAAGGAAGGCTGGAATGCCAACATGCGTCTATTATTGAATTCACCCCACTTGATAGTACCCATTTGGGGAACGTCCAGCGCCAAAGTCACTGAATGGGTAAGTCGCCAATCCCTAAAACAGACTATGTAATGTACTTTATATGCTGGGTTACGAGCAGGCATTTTACCAGAGGTTTCTAATCTACCTTTGTGTGATTCTTGTTGAAGCATATACTTGGGGGGTGACTGTTTTTATCTTTTGTTTACAATATTACTAAGCACCACTGTAACATTCTCAAGCCACCACAACATAGAAACTAGTAATATGAAGCAATTTGACTGACTTACCAGCTTTATCATTTAGTCAATTAAATAACAATCAAAAGCATGCCTTTTCGAACAATTCCTTTGGTGTTCAATCATTTGTCAGGTCAAAGGTTCAATAAAACTTGCGTACACCTGAATTAACAAGGGTGGCAAGGGTTTCCATACTCATGCAATGACCGTGTAGACACAAGCAACCTATGCCTTCATAATACTGGTGGCCATACAGCGTATAGGTTGGCCTCAATCCTTGACATCTCTCACTCCAGTTCATGTAAAAATTTACACAACTGGGTTGGGCTTCCATCTGCCTTGATATATATATATATATATATATCTTCTCAAGATATTGAAACTCAGATTCATTGTACACATGCATCACTGAAGTATGAACAAATAATCAATCAAACCACCATGAAAAATCTGAACACAATTTGTCAGAACAAAAATCCTAGTAAGAATTGAATATGTCTTGTTTATTATGAGTAACCTCGGCCTTCTCTAGGTATTCTAAATCTAGATAATTGGTACATCAAATTCTTTGAATGTCATAGTACACATCAAGTATTGCTACTCTGTACTATGCCTTGTTAACTTTTCCATGGTCACAAGCAAAGCTTTAAAATAAATGTTGTGTGTTATAGTTGCATTGAGATAATTTAATCATCTCCAATGAAAAATGGTAGTTGATTCATGTTGTAAGAAAATGATGGCCAAAGATTTAGTGGTAAATATGATCATACTATAGAGACTACATAAAGCTGAACACTATCTTTATCTCAAAAGTTTTTTACTAAGTTAATTAAGGGGTAAGGTATAACAAGAAAAATTAGATATAGCACCTATCATCCATCCTGGCTTGAGCTTCTACATAGGACAATGTTGCACACGACTTGATGACACTTTTCGAGAATCTTGTAGAAATAATCTCAGCTTCAGGTGTCATTTCCTGAAATTCAAATAATATGTCAAAAAAAGGTCCAAAACTTGAATTCACAAACACACACGAATACACACAAACCACCAAGATAGGGAAATAAATATATGTAAACACAAAAACAGATACATAAAAGCACAAATGCCCTTTGGTAAGCATACCTTTAGCAAGTAATCCGTTGCGTGTTTCTAACACTCAAGGGCTCAATTATGAGCCAATATGATGTAAAAAATCAAAATAAAACTCTGAGCCAACACCATTCATTGGTACAACTAAAGGAAGTGTATAGTGTGAAAACAAGAATGGAAAAGATGCAACATGTGCAAAAAGTAATTATGGTGAAAAAGATTAATTAACTAAAGCATTCTAAAATCAAAACAACCCTTTGATCCAACAATAGAAAACCTAAATCTCAGGTTAGTTGTTTTTTTAACACAAAAATGGACCATATGATTGGACTAATTGAACACAGGGACCTCTAAGATAAGGAAAAAAATGGCTTATGTTTTCTAAAGTTTATCAGTATTTAGCAACTATTCGACTTTCTTTCCATTCTAGCTTTTTCTTATCTTTTTCCATCTCAGCTCATCCAGATCAGTTGAACAATTTGACTCACAACCCAACAACCTCAATGAGCTCCATTTGAATTGGAAATATTAGCATTACAAGCAATATTTTATGGTTTAATAGACTAAACAGTGAAATGGGTGTACTCACAATTAAAAATGGGAGTGGCCACATAACTATAATATATTAATAATTAATAAGGTATCAAATTGGCACCATAATCCACAGATATTTGATATTGCAGGTTTGGGTATTGGAGAGAGTATCAAGAACCAGTGTTTTTCAGGTCAATCAGATACATGTACACTTACAACTCAATAGAAAAAGAAAGCTGAATCATAACAACCACTGATTCAATCATTACCCAAATAACAGAGAATGTTAGTCTCTCCACATCAACTCGAAGAGAACAAATATCTGCAATATAAAACTTCTATTGAGTGAGCTATCCAAGAGCTTCCGTGACAAGAAATTTTAAAACTAACAAACAACTAGCCATAAAATAAATCAGTTGTATGTGCAACCAACAAATTCAACCAAGTTAATGGGAATGAAATATTACCTTCTATTAAAGGTTTAGGAAGCATGTCAATTCGCCGCTCAACAAGGTAGACTAATGTGCCCCTTTGTGTAGCCTCATCATCAAGAGGGGTTCCAGGGTGCATAAAATTTGTAACATCAGCAATATCTGTTTAAATGTTATTAAGGATTGACAAAAAAGCTCCATGCCTAACTGATAAAAACTGAGAATCACCTTTAGACAATTGGATGTATTAAGACCAACATTAGCCCTAATCTAAGCAAAATATATAAAAAATTAAAATTTAAAAAAAAAAAAAAGATTCTTGGAAAATGTGTAAGATGGCCAACAGAAGAAACTCAAAAGAACAGTAATGAAGTCCGAAGGAAAACAAAAGCCCATTTGAGCTCAACAACAAACAGGGAATAAGCATGTGTACACTGAAGAAACCAAGAAGTGAATCAAACCTAGTACACAGTTTTTTACAAGTATTCATGCAAAATAGTCAAGAAGACAATTAGAATATTACTATTGCACAAAAAAGTAAAGACTAAATTGGAGTCTGGATCATTCGCTTACTTCAGTTCTATTTTCTACAAAGTTTGGATCATTTGCTTGCTATCTGGACTTGGCAAAACCATTGCCAGAATAGTCGCAAAAAATATTAATGAAGAGGAATGTCCAGCGCCATTAAAGAGAAGCGCTAGCGAAAGTTTCCTAGACACACTTGAAAAGTGTTTGCACAATGTTATGTAGCCTGAAAGTAACTACAAAACAGGTTATATTCTTTCTCGCCATGCTTATCACAGAATGAGATTACATTTATGTGCATGTTTCCACATATCCAACCAATTGACTAGTTCATGCCATTTAGTTACTAGATACAAGAACGACCAATATTCCAGATAAATATCGTTATGCTCGGTGTTATTGAAGTACCGAACCAGCCAAGCCCAAGCCTAAGTAAAAGCTTACAATAATCACTAAGGAAACTCAAAATTAACACACAAAAAACAAAATTTGCAAATCATACTAACCGTGCTGGGTCAAAATCTTGAACTCCAAGGTCCTCATCCAAAGAAATATATAATCATATTCAGCTACTATGTCCGGATGTAAGAAACGCTTGGCAAACCACCTATGCCACCAGATGAGCTTTATATATCCATAGATTACAGATACATATTTTACATGAACACCCCACGTGGAGAGAAATGACTTGTAATTCATCAGGTAATTACCATTTTGTTTGATTCATGACAGATACATGTATGACGCGGCTACTCCACCCTAAATCGCGCCATTCATCCACAACATCATCGTAATGAAAAAGCATCACTACAAAACCATTTGCCAGAAACTGCAACAAAATGGTAGATGTTAGTCATAAATACAACCAGCAAAAGTCTGTGAGGTAGGAAGCCATTAGAGAGATATAGGCCTGCCACCTTTTCAACAATTTGTTTCACTATTTGTTTCTGCTTTATTCCAACTGCAATGGCCAATAAATTTACTGAAGGCTTTGAAGTGATCTGATTCAAAAAATACTAAAATAAGTATAAAGAAAATGAAAAGATAAGAAGTTTTTGATTTATTTGAACCAAATAAAACTATCAGTGTCAAGAAGAAACATTTTCTTTTGCTTTCTCATTTGAATTTTCTTTTTTACTTTTTTTTTTTTATATACGTAAGATTTGAAAATAAAACCTACACCAACCCCACCCTTTAAGGCCCAGAAGTGCTCAGGAGGATTTATACAGAAAATTTTCTCAAGTCAGGCCAGTAATTCACGAGTCATGCTGTGCAAATGCTCAATAAAGAAAAAGAATAAACAATCCTCTAAAAACTTGTAAAATAAATTTGGATAACCATTACATGTATAAAATCTTAAACCAGTAGTAAAATTTAAGCTTTCATTCTGACATTCATTGAGATATCCAGCTGCTGTTTCACATACATTTTCTGCAACAGGACCCCATAAAGGGCGCATTTCCAAGTTAGAATTTCTGGCAATGCCTCACTGCCAACAGGCCTGCATTGATTCTAAAAGCAAAAGGGAATAAATTTAAAAGCTGGGACATAAAAAAAATATATATACCAAAGAACTTACAAGCAAAATAGCAAGTACACTTTGTGAAAGAGATTAACCTTGCATTTATTAGATTGTGTATCCTGCCTTGTGTGATTCATTTCCTCCCCTAGTGATATCTGAGCAAGCTGCTGTCAGATTTATTCCTTGTAAATTATTTGTACATTGAAACTTTAGATTGAGAGATGTTCAAGCAAATATAAAGTACGCCCCAAAAACAGATTCTCAAACACACTTGAGTAAAATTTCCAACAGACTTGTTTGTCCACCAAAAAAAAAAAAGAAAAAGAAAAAGAAAGGGGAAAATAGTCAGTAGTCCACAAAATCTAATGGGAAAATAACCATTAGTCACGTCTAACTTTGTGAAAATATAATTGAGGTAACCTTAATAGGATAATTACGAAACAAGTAATGGTAGCCATGAAAAATAAAATAGGGAGTAAAAGTTTGTCAAAAATTCAAGTAGGGTAATAACCTAAACCACTTCAGTCACCGCATCAACAATAAGGATACACAACTGTTTAACTTGAATTTCTAGGATATGCAATTGTTCAAAAAATGAAATAAGGATACACAACTGCGTAACCTGAATTTCTAGGATATATGCAATTGTTAAAAAATGATACGAAGTAATATTTATAGGATGTGCACTTAGTTTGTTAAGGATAGCACTTGCCGGAGATAGTCAAGGATATGCATCTGGAACATCATTTTCAATATGGGATTGCTTATAGGGATTATAGAAGTTTAAAAAACTTCATCCACCACATTGGCAAAAATGTTTTCTGAAAGGGACAAACCTTATTGCATTCAAAGGATTGTCTATTTTGCCTTGCATTATTCATTTTCCATGTTGGTAAGATCTGCATAAACAATAACAAAATTTATGCATTGTCTGTTACAAGATAACTGAAACTTCTTAGAGAAAATTTTAAACAAGACTCATATATTATGCATTCTCTTCTGCGAAGTAAATGATTATAACGAAATAGCCATTGAAGCAATGATATGTACTCCTCTGTAACTTTTTGCAAGGAATGCACTCCCAATGAAGTAAGCACCACAAATCAATGAAGCAATAATGAAGAGAGTGAAGAGACAAGATTTACTCTTTGGATCCAACAGTAGAGAAAACCTGCAAAGATAATAAAAAATAAATAAGAATAGGAAAAAATTTTGTATAATAAAATGTAGTAATAATAATTCAGATTGATATAGCATGATCCTTTTACTGTCTTTAGTGAGCAAATATTAGTGAGATGTCCCCGTTTCACACTATTGTTACTATGGAAGCATATCACTTATTTTAGATGGAAAGAACAATACAACAATAAACGGAAAAAGACAAAAACTCCATTTTTTGCTATTTCTAAATTATTTTAGAAGCTCAATTAGGTGTGTCCTACAAACAAATTTTTAAGGTGAAAAATTGCAAAAGTGTGTTTCTTTATAAGGTCCGGTTACTTTTTATTCACTTCAATTCCCTGTTTAATAGTTTATTTTAATTTTGTTAACTAATATCTGTTATACTTTCTCTTCTTGTTCCTAGCTTCTATTTTCATTATCGAAAAAATGTCAGATGCACCAAAAACTCATTTGCCAGCATTTTTGTTAGTCAACTATTAGAAACAAAACATAAGCTTCCACAAGTTCATCCAAACAGATCTCAATTAAGTGAGACAAACCACGGTAGGGTTTGCACCGAGTAATCTATTCTTGGAGTGAGAAAGAGAGCATGTTGACCTTAAGAGTAGGAGCATCTAGATATACACACAAATATATATATAGATATATAAAATGAGATTTTTATGCATCAATTGTTATTATTAGGATAATATACTTAGTATGAATTCAAGCATGTGTCATTTATATTTAAATAAACCAGGGAACATGTGTCTAATTTTTCTTAAAATATAATTGACTTCAAAAGCAACTTGAAATGTTCGCCTGAGGATAATGTTTGAAGCTGCAGAGTGGGTCTAACCTTTGTGGCCGCAACTTATACTATTATGTTAAATACCATGAATACAGAGAAGTGCCAGTTTTTATTTGTGACAATGTTAATTCATCTTGAATCCACTGATTGCCTCATATGAATTTGTTTACATCAGTTTGCAAATTTCCAACAATTTCACCCTCAATTTGCCAATTCGCAAATTAGAGCACAATTATGTATACATTTGTAAATCCAATGAAGTGTCCAACAAAAAAATTTGAAATATGTACAAAATGGTAAACAAGACAAAAGGTTTTAGTGTACTGCTCATAAGACATCTAAAAGTTCACTGTATGCATATACGAAGACCTCCAAATCACCCGAACTCAGAACGAAAAAGGGGGGAGGGGAAGAGAAAGAGGTTCTTCCGGACCTTTGTTGCCAGAAATTTAGAAGGAAACAGAGAGCAATTAAAGATTTAGGTTTGGGTTCTCTCATGTTCAAATTTGAACTTGAGAAAAATTGAGGGGATTGTGGGGTCATCATGGGTCTTGTCTCGATTATCTAAATTGTTCATTTTGTCAGACACTCAATATATTTGATCGACCCGATAATTATAACCTTTTTATTTTATTGCTTTTAGCTTTAAAAAAAATTAAAATTCGATGACGTGTATATTTTTAAAAATAAACCATTCCTTTTTTTGGAGGCAAATACAATAATAAAATAAAAAGATTACCATTATCGAATGGACTTAATTTTTTCATAGATGATATACACGGATGATTCAACAAAATGAACGGTTTGGTTCATTGAAATGGGCCGTGGTAGGTCCGCAGGCCCCTAATTTGAATTCGAGAGAAGTCTAACCTAAATATTTAAAAGTAAGAATTTCTAGGATTGGAACCAAGCAGAACAAAATTGCAAAATTGAGTGTATATACACTCTTAAATATTTAAAAGTAAGAATTTCTAGGATTGGAACCAAGCAGAACAAAATTGCAAAATTGAGTGTATATACACTCTTTTTTCTTACCAGGTAAGCAAGGTTTGATAACCAAACCGATTTCCAAAGAAAAAAACAAAACTTGAACATCTGGCAAGATAATAGCACAGGCTCAGCTCAGTGCAATAAATTTCAAATGTTTGGGGTATCAAATTATGGGTTTTTTAGCTTTATTTTTTCCTTTCCTTTTCCTCTGTTATTCTCAGCATCCAAACAGACCATGAAGCAACTTGAAACACACACACAATACAAACAAATACCAATACCAATCTGTATATATGAACTTATGACCAATCAAATTAAACCCATTCCAAAAATAACAATCACAAAAAACAAAACAAAAACATAGAAATAGTGAATAGAGAGAAACTTACAGGATGGAATGACTTCACGTTGCATGAACTTGCCAAAAGAACATCCAAAGGGTGTCTGAAAAGGAGATGATTGAAAGAAAAAAAGCTTTTTGAAGGAAAGGGAAAGTATGTATATCTATCTATCCATCCATCTATATTTTTGGTTCCGTTTGATAGAGTTTTGTAAATATGATTTGAGAATATGAGTTGTGTTTTGAGTTTGTGAGTTGTGGAATTATAATTTGAGTGTATAAAATTTGTTTGATTATGATTTTTGAATAGAGTGTTGAATTGAGTTTTAAATTGAGTGTGGAATTGAGTTTTGAAAGTTTGATTTGACATGTGAAGTAAGAAAATTTGTTTGGTTATGAGTTTTGAAAAGAATTTTCAAAACTTAATTCAAATTATTATAACTCATAATAAAACACACTACTTTCACTCATAACAAAAAATCGTAACATATTTAAATATTAAAATATTTAAAATCTTAACAAAATTAAAATATTAAAATATTTAAAAAATTAAAATATTGATTTAAATTGAGTTTTGAAAAGAGTTTTGAATTATATGTTTGGTTATGAGTTTTGAAAAGTAATGATTATGTTTTGAATTGAGTTTTGAGAAATGGGTGTAAAATTATAATTTGAAAGCTCCAAACAAACAACACATTCAAATCAATCGGTGGAACTATATTTTGAGAGGCTTACCAAACGGGCCCGATGTTTTAAACTACTGTAGACGCGCCCTTGGGCTTCATGCTACAGTTCGGACTCAAATGTCACAGTTCTTAATCTGATCTCGCAAAGTGTAATGCATGACTGATAAATCACCAAAGAGTCCAAATCTGGCAAATCGTTTTGGAAAATTGATTTTTAAGAAAGAAGTGCCAAACATGGACTGCTTTGCCAGATATAGAGTCACCACCTAAATATTTATTTTGGGGGAATTTAGGAAACCCTGACTCGTGCCTAAGGCCACGTGTCCGTTATCAGCAAAGTTGCCTCAGCTCGGGAACTTAGGTACGATTGGGGAAGGTCATGCAATGAGCACCCCTGCTCACCCGATCAAAGATCGGCCTGTACTAAGCATGATATCTTATTTTTGAAAACATATGCGTTCTTATTCCGGTTATTAGCTAGAATTTACTCTGTGATGCGCACAACACACAAATATAGACTAGATCACCTAATTTGAAACAAAGCATTGCATATCCATTTGTTTGGAAAATGGTTTGAAGTTTGCAACTCGCAAGTAGGCTAAACACATGGATTTCAATGAATCGTTCCAACTCAAGTAATCCAACCTCCACTCACAGGCATTTAGGCAGTTATATCACATAAGCAATTAGCCTCATGGCAAGCATGCTGTCATGTTAACACTCACACGTATGCAAGATGCTAAAGCATAAACACTCACAGTGTACTCCGAGCCAAGATAGAGAACTAGTTAGAAATCAATGCATGACCCTAGTTCATGTTAAGATGGCTAATGCAACACATGCAAAATGTAACTAGAAATAGGCTCGGCTATTCTAAAATGACATATGAGATGCGACAAATCGATACATGTATTCAAATAGAAATTGAAATACAATGCAGTTAGTATGATGCGCCGAGCCCGGTGTATGCAATACAGATGAATGATGCGAACACGCATAGCATAAGGATGCTAAATTAAATATGCCCTAAAACTAACCATCATAAGCAGTTAAGTAAAAGAGAGAAAGAAATGAGAGTTAGAAGACATGCATCACACACACGCACACTTATTACATTATTGCGCCCTCTCGACGTGCCCCGATAAAACCGGGATTTGTGTTCCCATACTGGCAGAGCCCACAACC